CAAGGTGAGAAGGAGTCCTGGAGATTGGTTGCACAAAAATGTGAATGTATTTAACACTGCTGAGCTGCACACTTCGAAGTGGTTAAGACGGTAAATGTTAGGTTATACGTTTTTACCACATTTTTTTAAATTGGGTACATTCTTCTACATCAGAAATTACTGACTCAAAAATAGAAGTGCAATAAGATACCAATCACAATAGCAGCAAAAGCTACAAAATGTCTGAGAATTAACAGCATACTCAGGACTACTATGAAAAAGTAAAATTTTAAAACCATAATAAAGAGCAAACGACATGATTTGAATAAATAAGTGAAGATTCTGTTTTTGCATTGTATGGTTTAATAATAAAAACAAGTCAGTTAACCCAAAACTTCTATAAATTCAGTATAACCACAGTCAAAATTCAAGTGGGGAAGATAGAACTAGAAGTGAGTATCCTCCCAAATTCCTAGTAGGAAACTACAAACTTAGGTTCTGTTGCTACTTTGCTTTTGTCCAAAGCCAAAAGAAGCTCAAATTTTGCACCTCTCTCTCCACCCCGTAACATTGACTTTCTTCCTTCTTGTTGTGAATGTACTTCCTGTCCTCCATCTGTTTTTCTGGACCCACCCTCAATACGTCTGCACCTGGGGTCTGCCTCAAGGGCTGACCTGCATGACATAACTGGCTCTCATACTCCCTGGCTTCCTCTTGCTTCCAGCATCAGCCTAAGAGCAGAGGGAGGAGGAGAGTGAGGTCATTGTTTCTAATTCCTTGGCTTCCTCCCTACAAGGTCACCTTGAGCTGCTGTGTCCCTTGACTGAAGGGCACTGCCCTTAGCAAAGTGGTGACTGTACAGGGCTCGCTCTCCTTCTGAGCCCTTCTGCCCCTGGCCTCTTTAGACCTGCAGTAACAGCTCAGCTGCTGCTACTCAGGGTTACTGTGTTATCCTCCACCCACTTCTTTGTAAATACCTTCCTAATAAATGAGCTCTCCTTGAACTGTCTTATTTTCAGTCTGTCATCTGTTTTCTGTTGAGATTCTGATACAATAAAAGCCATTTATTTATTCTCTGATCCAGACTAGAGTGGCCAGGGGCCTCTTGGAAGCCTCATATGCAATGAAAGAGGAAGGGTCTGGAGTAGTCTTTATGGTTTGTGGCCTCTCTACTCTCTGAAACCCCTGGAGACTGGTCTGGCCAAGTAGTGGCAGGAAGCACCACGGAGAAATTCCCCATGCCTTGCTTCAAGGCAGTTGGAGGGCTCTTTTATCAAGCCAAAAAGAAAAAAGGATTTGAGGATGGGGTTGAACTCCACCCTTATTTGTCATCTGATTTGCCCAATTTTACTTTGGAAACAGAATTACTTGAGAAAATGGCCTAAAAACAAGTTTCATAAATAGACATTAGGATTAAATGTCAATCTTGACTGTTTCTTTCACATGCATGTGTGCATGGGTAGAAGGCAAAGAGAACCTGGAACCCAGGGGCATGCTCTCCCTCAGGAAAAAAATATGCCAAGGATACCACCTCCCATGGTGTAATTAGGATTATTATCTGCTTCAAGACTGAAGGAACTCCCTGCACTGTGTGTGCCGTCGTTAACACAGACCCAGTTCTTTTATGGGAGGGGAGCTGGACTAGATGACCTTTAAAGTCAATTCTAGCTTCAAGTTCAGCTTTTAAAACAACAAGACATTGAAGGGAGAAAACAGTTATTTGTGCCACGTGGATTAGGTATAATCTGAAAGTCCAATTCTCTCCCTCTCACTCCTCTTCCTCCTCTAGGTCTCTCTCCTTTCTCCCACTCCAATTCTCTCCTCTCACCCTTTTTCTCCCTCTCTCTAGCTCTCTTCCACTCCTCCTCTTTTTTCTCTCTTTCTTTCACATGTGCTCGTGTGTGACACACGCACCCCTTTCTTGACAATCCATTATGTTTAACATTTCACTCTCCTCATGCAGCATCCATTCCTCTCTCCTCATCCTCCTACGATTGATCCACCATTACCCTTCTTCTACCTTCCTTTCAAGTACCACTTATTCCCCTGTCTAAGGACTCCTCTTTCTACCTATAGTATTCTGACTTTCTGGATCCTAGGAAACCTACATAGTACTTTTTCTTATTCCTTACCTGGAAGGGGACAGCCTTCCTATAAAACAAAAACTTGCCTTTCCGCACTACCTGCCGAGGGGTCCATACGGCATTGTTCTGGGTTCCCGTCCTAACTTAAAGGGAAACTTTCACACTGTCTGGAGCCCTTGATGTCCTGCAAATGACGGAGGAGGATGTCTTAAGTTTCTTGCCACAGGAACCCATTTAGGTGACACCAACCTTGACTTCCAGATGGAACAGTACATCTATAAAAGGAAAATGATGGCATCTACATCATAAATCTGAAGAGGACCTGGGAGAAGCTTCTCCTGGCAGCTCATGCCATTGTTGCCATTGAAAACCCTGCTGATATCAGTGTTATATCCTCCAGGAATACTGGCCAGAGGGCTGTGCTGAAGTTTGCTGCTGCCACTGGAGCCACTCCAATGGCTGGTTGCTTCACTCCTGGAACCTTCACCAACCAGATCCAGGCAGCCTTCCGGGAGCCACAGCTGCTCGTGGTTACTGACCCTAGGTTACTGACCTCTCACACAGCCATCTTATGCCTACCACTCCCTCTCACTCCTCTCCCTCCTCTAGGTCTCTCTCCTTTCTCCCACTCCAATTCTCTCCTCTCACCCTTTTTCTCCCTCTCTCTAGCTCTCTTCCACTCCTCCTCTTTTTTCTCTCTTTCTTTCACATGTGCTCGTGTGTGACACACGCAACCTGCCTACCACTGCTCTGTGTAACACAGATTCTTCTCTGCACTATGTGGACATTGCCATCCCATGCAACAACAAGGGAGCTCACTCAGTGGGTTTGATGTGGTGGATGCTGGCTCGGGAAGTTTTGCGCATGCGTGGCATCATTTCCTGTGAACACCCGTGGGAGGTTATGCCTGATCTCTACTTCTACAGAGACCCTGAAGAGATTGAAAAAGAAGAGCAGGCTGTTGCTGAAAATGCTGTGACCAGGGAGGAATTTCAGGGCAAATGGACTGCTCCACCTCCTGAGTTCACTGCTACTCAGCCTGAGGTTGCAGACTGGTCTGAAGGCGTGCAGGTGCCCTCTGTGCCCATCCAGCAGTTCCCTACTGAAGATGAGCACTCAGCCTGCCATGGAAGACTGGTCTGCAGCTCCCACTGCTCAGGCCACTGAAGGGGTAGGAGCAACCACTGAATGGTCTTCAGCTGTTCTTTCATGGGCTCTTAAGCAACATGGAAATAAGATTGATGGAAAATAAACATCCATTACCTAAAAACAAACAAAAAACCTACGAAGTTAGGGCAGATAAAAGCCTGCATTGGAACTCTCTAGAAAGGGAACTGGAAACTGTCCCATTAGTTTCTACTTCCTTCCTCTTAGGTCCTGTCACTTTGATTCCCCCTGCGGTAACCAGAACCAGACCCTTCAGATCTGCAGCTTCTCTTTTAAAACTGCCCAGATAGGCTGGGCACAGTGGCTCATGCCTGTAATCCCGGCACGTTGGGAGGGCGAGGCAGGTGGATCACTTGAGGTCAGGAGTTTGAGACCAACCTGACCAACATAGTGAAACTCCATCTCTACTAAAAAAAAAATGCAAAATTAGCCAGGCGTGGTTGTGCATGCCTGTAATCCTAGCTTCTTCAGAGGCTGAGGCAGGAGACTTGCTTGAACACAGAAGGCAGAGGTTGCAGTGAGCTGAGATTGCCCCATGGCACTCCAGCCTGGACAACAAGAGCAAAACTTTGACTCGAAAATAAAAAAATAAATAAAATAAAAATAATAAGTAAAACTGCCCAGATATAGATAAGGCCAAAAATCCCCATTCCTAGACTTAACTAGAATTTCAAAAGGAATTTGCTTTGTCAACAAACAAAAATAAAACAGGAACAGTGAGTAGAAAAGAATAAGAATAGTAAAATATAGATATTAGCTTCCTTCCAGTGACTTCTTCTGTTAACCCCTTCCAGAACAGATGCTCTAATTCCAAGGATCCTCATGAGGAAACCATGGATGTGCTGCAGATTAACTCACTCCTGACTTCTTTTCTTTCCCACATTCTAGTACGTAACTCTAATTCCAAAAACAATTCCACACACCAGCTTTCTGTGTCCAGCAGGTGTCGCCCTTCACAGGACTACAAGCCACCAGCTGGCGCTCTTCCATAGGTGAGCCCATTCCCCCAGCAGGGATCTCCTTGGGCTTGGGGTAGAAAGGAATGGAACGGTGGCCCTGAAAAGATGTGTGCTTACCAGCCTGAGGGGCTTCAGAATAAAGTAATCTGCTACTTCCGGCTCAGGTAGACAAACATCCTACAGAAATCTGTTCTTTGACCTTGGACAGGTCACTTAAATGTCTCTGAACCTCACATCCTTTGTAACATAGAGAGAAACAATCTGTTCCCTATGGGGTTATTGTGAGAAGAAACGGAGCCACAAACATAAAAGCCTGAGCCCAGTGCCCAAGACATGATAATCACTCAAGCTGTGTTCCCTTCTGCATTCAGGGTATGGAAGAACAGCTCTGTCCCCTGAATCCTGAGGGGTCTGCCTTAGGGTTGTGATGAGGATCAAAGCACCTGGTGCAATGCCTGGCCAGAATGCTGAGTAGCTGAAAATAGCTGACATCACTATTGCAGGCTGGCTATGTGCCTGGCAGCGTTCTTAGCCCTTTACAAGTATTAACTCATTTAATCTTCATAAAAGCCTATATGAGGTGAGTAAGCTGTTAATCCCCTTCCTTCCCCATATTCTGTGACTCCATCCCACCACAGTTAATTTCTCATTATGAATTGTAAATTAGAAAACGGCCCCAAATTCTGTCGTGTCTAAGTGGGAAAATGGAAGAAGGCACTGATTTCTCCCTCACTCAAGTAGAAGAGAATCAACCTCAGTCCCTGCTTTGCCCATATTCCTTCCCCAGGGTCCCAGGAAGAAGACATGGAAAAACAGTATTTCCACCAAAGTTTATTTCTCAGAAACAGTCACCAGTGACTGTCCGTCCTCTGTGGCACACTGAGGCCCCCAGGAGGGTCTTTAACTTCCTTCCTCACATTGTATTCATCCCAGAAACATAGCCTTGGGTAATAATTTGGTTACAGAATAGTCCCAGGAATGAGGTCCCCTAAATTGTTAAGGTTTACATAACAAAGACTGGGAAAGTCAAAGAATTCGATGGAGAAACCAGAGGATCCAAGGTAATGTCAGGGAGTTGAAGACGTTGGAGAGGAATGGTAGCATCATGGAGTTTGAATCTCCTTCTCACTCAGAGTGGAAGATGTAGGATTCTGCCTCTAGGAAATGTGCCGTGCTACAGAATAAATAAAAAGGAGATAATGAGGCTTTCACCCAAATTGCCCCCATTCTTTGTCACTGTAACCATCCCATGCATTAATACAGTGATATTGAAAAGTCTAGGGCACCAACAACTGATACAAAGGAACCACCTTCAGCTCCTCGCCACAGACACCCCACTTGGTAGAAGAGGAGGATGTCGGCTTTCCTCTTTCCTGCTCTTAATCCTAGCAATGGCAGCTTAAATCATGCCCTTGGCTAGATCCTCATGGAAGTTCACCCATATAATAAGCAAGATTAGTTGAACCCACCACTGACCTCTCTAACCCGCACCCCTACCAAAGGACAAGTAGGAAAGGAGACCAACAGAGATATTACCTTCCGGATAATTGGACCCAGGAAGAGGAATGTAGCCTAAGAGAGGAAGATACTTGATTAGACCAGTCTTTGTGGATGAACATATCTCTCATTATTCATAGCAAATGCACTAGGAAGGAGAAAGTCAATCACAAACAGAAAGTAAGCAGAGATTGGGACCAAGAGGGGGGATGGGAGTTCAGGGAGTCACTCACTAGAGGAGCCAGCCCTCCGCCAGCTGATCAAACCAAGAGAGAAGATGATGAGGCCCAGGCCCAACGTCACTGCAGACACAGAAACCTTCACTGTCTGCATGGGGGACAGCCCAGGTGCTGCAAAAAATATAAGTTTTCTCAAACCAATTTCTGTTTTCACCCCCAGGGCAACTCAATTTATTGCAGCCACCTCTTGGTGGGCTCAAAGGTCCTTTATCCTAGCTCCAAGGGTCTAGCTCATTCCACCCACTCCCAAGAAACTGACCTTTCTCAAATCCCATGGACCTCTACTCCTAGAGTAAGCCTGGGGAACCCACCTCCCCAGAATTAGCATCCTGGCTTCCAGGTCCTCTCTAACACAGTGGGGCCTCTCAAGGTATCCTCTTTCCTTCCCTTACCCCAAAAGACACCCTTATCAGGATGAAGTACTCCTCACTGCCCTCTCCATTGCCCCCTTACTTTCTTCCTTTGCTTCCTTACTTTCTCCAACTGGGCAGTTTCCTATTACACTGTCTTGCCACATTTCCTAACCTCCAGTGGTTCCATCCTGTGAGCTATCCTACTACTTGTGTGCCTTCTACATCTAGATCTCCCACGTGTCCTCCATCCCATCCCGCAGTCCCCGCACTTTCTGGGCCTAGTCCTGTTCTGAATCATGTCCCACCCAAATTATTTCCCCATTATAAAATGAGCACTCCATTACCAAAGGGAGGTAGGTTCTTGTGTACCCTATTAGGAGACATTCCCCAGGAGAGTTCAAGTGAGCATGTGATTTCTCTGTTCTCAGATTTTTTCTCTGTTCTCCATTCCCTTCCCAGCTGCCCAGCAAGAAACAGCACTTCCCACAAGGGGAAACCTGGTTACAGCAGCGAATCTGAGATCCTGTTCCCTGATCCTTTGCAGAAACTCTTCCTCTTCTTCATTTCTTCCTCTTTCTTTCCCAAGAATCACCAAAGCTGTGTGCAACTTCTCACGCTACCTTTATCTCCTCCCAACACTGAGTTCAGTGTTTGAACTGCAATTAATTCTTTATCCATTAGCCCCTGAGTGTCCATGCCAAATGGTCTGCCAGCCATGGCTTCACTACTTCCCGATGCTTGGTAGAGCAGCCCAAATGCAGTACTGCCCCACACCAAGAAAAGTACCCCTGCTTCAACCTTCAGATCCCATCTGCTTCTGGCACTGGAATAGTTGAAATCTAAGGAGTCTAGCTAGACTAGTGTATTACAAATTTGGGGTTCTGAAAATATGATTGCCAAATTTGCATCCTCTTTTCAAAGCAAGCATGCTCCCTTCCCACTCTCAAACACAGAAGCAGCAATGTCAACCACACCACAAGAGCAACAGTAGCACAGAATATTAAATTGGTGCAAAAGTAATTGCTGTTTTTGCTACCAAAAGTAATGGCAAAAACTGCAATTACTTTTGCACCAACCTAAATGTTTCCATTTCTTTATCCCATTTCCCCATTCCGGTCCTAAGCCCTCCATAAGTTTCTCCAGACTCAGTCCCCATTTTCAGCACCTCGCTCTCTACCATGCACCATATATCGATCCCCATCTCATTTTCTCTGCTTTAACCCTAATTCCATCCACCTGCCTATACTTACTCCAGTCCTGAAGGATGGGCTCAGGAGCCCCAATGTGCTCCACCACACAGGTGTAGATGTCCCCGTAAGAGGGGGTTAAGGCTAAATGAGAGAGGGTCTGGTATGTCCAGTCTCCATTGGGCTGGGCAGTCTTCTGGGCACTGCTATGAGGAATGACAGGCTTCCCGTTCTTCCTCCACGTGATGATCACATCTGCTGGATAAAAGCCCCACACGTAGCAGGCCAGCATCACAGGCTCCCTCGTGTTAAAAGGAGTGGTTCGGGCTACTTGCACAGATGGTGGCCCTGCATAGGAGAAAAAACATCTTTAGGAAGAAGGGTAACATTGTGGCTTCTTCCCCAACCTGGTTTCTTTCCTATCACAATTCTTCATCGATTTTGCAACCCACTTCCCACCCCAGCTCCCCTGCCATGCTGCCCCTTGGAAGGAAGCATTAGAATGTATTCCTGCATCACTCTTTCTTCTCTCCCATTCCTTCTTTCTTTCTTTCTTTCCTCTTTACCCTACCCCTTTCTTTCTTTACTCCTCCAGAACTATGTTAGATTACAATCAGGAAAAGCCAGATCTAAACTGCAAGCTGTTCTAGAAGTCATTGTATTTATTTCAAGTATGTAAGCTAGAAAGTATTTGAAATAAGTAAGCTAAGAGTAATCTAGATTTGTGCATTGGGTTTTTTAGGGTGGAAAAACAACTTTTCTCCAAATCTTGTTTAATACATTAATTTCCTAGTTAAAGTCTTTTCTCCTCACATAGTTAAGGAAACAAGCCTAACTTAGTACTCATTCTTAGATTTGGAATGTAGTCAAATTAAAATTAGTGAGATTGTTAATACTGCCATCTTTTTTTTTTTTTTTTTGAGATGGAGTTGCGCTCTTGTTACCCAGGCTGGAGCGCAATGGCGCGATCTCAGCTCACTGCAACCTCTGCCTCCTGGGTTCGGGCAATTCTCCTGCCTCAGCCTCCCGAGTAGCTGGGACCACAGGCACGCGCCACCATGTCCAGCTAATTTTTTTTGTATATTTAGTAGAGATGGGGTTTCACCATGTTGACCAGGATGATCTCCATCTCTTGACCTCGTGATCCACCCGCCTCGGCCTCCCAAAGTGCTGGGATTACAGGTTTGAGCTACCGCACCTGGCCAATACTGCCATCTTTTACTAATTTATTCTCCTAGATGATCCTCTTGCTTGCCCCATCTTGACATTTTTCAAACACAATCTTAAATTTTAAAATCCAAGAAATTATGTTAAAATGCAGATTTCCTAGCCTGTATCTCCAGCTACTTTCTTTCAACAGATCTGGAGTGGTATCAAGGGGCTTTCATATTTAACAAGCACCTCCTCCAGGCAATTCTGAGAAAGGTGCTTCAGAAACCACCCTTGGGACACACTACTCTGTCCTGTGGAGATCTTCAAGCTTACTTTTACAAATGTCAAGTCATTGTCAATGCCAGAGATTAAGGGTAAGAAAAAGCATGGGTCAGAATCCCCTAGGATTCCAAATATTCTCATGCCTGGGTCCACCTCAGATCTAGAATATCAAAATCTGGGATAAGAAGGCATGAACATGTTGGGTATGCATCCTGAGACACCCTGGCTTCTGCGAAAGCTCCCCGGATGGCTCCTCTCGGTTCAAGTGTCACCTCCCCTTCTTTACCCCTGTTCCACCCACGTCAGCCACCTTGTTCTCTTAAGGTTCAACCCTCCCTCTTCCAACATTTCAGATCCACACATTTTCTCTTTTTTGCTACTCAAAACTCAAATCCCTGGCCTACTGTGGGATCCTCCCTGGCCTGCCCTCCTAACTGCACTTCGTGGTAGCCCCTCTGCACCCCTCTCTCCTCACGTGTCCTGTGGGTCAGTGATCCCCAGAAGGGCTGGGTGTGTGTGGCACAGTCCTGAAGCCCATTGCGCAAGCGCTGCATCAGGGTGTCTTGTTTGTTGAGGTAATCTGATAAGCCATTGGCCAACTGATTCAGCACCCCAAATTCGCAAGGGGCCATCTTATTCTCCTCTGGATCCCAGCAGGTCAGCAGATCCTTGTTGAAGGAGATGCAGTATGTGAAATCCTTTGGCGTCCCATCATCATCCAACAGACAAGTGCTTTCCACATGGGCCACGAAGCCACCTAGAGGAGCCAGAAAAGGGAGAGCAGGTCAATGTCTTCTACTGGTGTGATAATAAATAAATAAATAATATATATGACATAGAAACATATTTAAGAGCTTCACAGACCTCCTAAAACCCTTGTAATTTCCTGAGTGACAGGGATGATAGGTGCTTCTTTTGGTTTTGTTCTAATATTTTGTCTTTGACCCTGGTTCCTGACACAGAGTATTAATCGCTTAGAATTTCCTAGGTAACAGGCGTGTCTTTTGTTATAATGAGGTAACTCTTCGTGGGCTCCTGGAGGAGGGTCTGGTCACCAGAAAGACCAAGCCATGATTAGAAGCCTGGAACTTTTAGTCCCCTCCCCTATCCTCCCAGAAGGGGAAGGGGCTGGAGATTGAGTTAATAATCAGTCCTGCCTATGCAATGAAGCCTCCATAAAAATCCCTAAACTATGGAGTTTAGAGACCTTCTCAGTTGGTAAATACATCCACGTGCCAAGAGGTGAAGTACCCTAATTCTGTAGGGACAGAGCTCCTGTGATCGGGACCCTTTCAGACCTGGTATCTCTTCATCCAAATGTTCATTTGTATCCTTTAAAATATCCTCTGTTAAAGGATGCAAAATTATGATTGAGTGTCCTATACCACTGTGGGATGACTATTATTAACCATAATACATTGTATCACTTCAAATAGCTAGAAGAAGGATATTGAATGTTGCCAACACAAAGAAATGATAAACGTTTTGAGATGATGGATATGCTAATTACTCTGATCTTATCACTATGCATTACATATACTAAAACATCATTATCCACCCCATGAATATGTATAATTATTATCAATTAAAATATCCTTTGTAAAAAATCTACAATAGTAAGTAAATTTTCCTGAGTTCTGTAAGCCACTCTAGCAAATTATCAACCCTAAGGAGGGGGTAATTAGAACTTCTGATTTGTAGCCAAGTTGACAGAAGATGTGGGGTAAGCCAGGGACCTAATACTTGTGATTGGTGTCTGAAATGGAGGTGATCTTGTGAGACTGAGCCTTTAACCTTTGGGGTCTGTGTTAACTCCAGTTAATGTCACAATGGAATTGAATTGTAGGATATTCAGCTAATATAGGAGAATTGGTTGCTGTGAGAAAAAAAAGAAACCCACACGATTGGACAAAGAAGTGTTGAGTGTGAGCACATCGAAGAAAAAAGTTGATTTTTTTCCTATATTCAGCTGAGAACCCAAGCCTTGGTGACACCCAGTTAGTGTGGCACAGATGTCCTGCGTCAGGGAACATCCACTGACCAAGCTCATACACGGAAGTTTCTGAAAGCCTGATTTGAGGGAGTCGATAGAAGTAGTGGGAAAGTTTTCAGAACCAGTCTCCTGTTTCTGCAAGACTAAGCACAGGGATAGGAGTGGCCCCTGAGAGTATTTGCAATGTTTAAACATAATGATTTTCCCAGAACACAGACCTTCAGTAAGGCAAATTAATGAGAGAGAAAAAGGGTCAAGAGAAAGAATCAGCCTTGTACTGTGCTGGAAGTATTACACATTCACTTCATACTTACTTACGAAGCACTTGCTGTGTCCAGGCAAGTGCTTCACTGCTAGGAGCTGGCAATGCAACAATAAATAAGATGAACATTGTCCTTGCCTGTATTCCAGCAAGGTATAGACACTGCACAAATAATTATACAGATTAGTTACATTAAAATGGATACGAAGGTACAGGACAAAGTGCTATAGGAATATATACCAGGGAGACAAACTATCTGGAGTGTCTTACCTGAAACAGGAACAGGGGAAGGGGGAGTACCTGGAAGAAGTGTCCTTACCTGCTCCTGTGCAGCCCAGGCTGAGCCCCAGCAGCAGTGGCAGGAATGTGATCATGCTCTGTTCTACAGAGACGCTGGGAGTTCAGTCCCCTGGACCAGCTCTTCCAGAGTCCGTGGGTCCTCGCCTGTCCCAGAAGCTCCAGTCTAGGTAGATGATCTCCAGACACTAAAAAGAATACTATATTGCCCGGGTCCCTTGATCCCCCCAGATAAGCGATTTGGGGATACTCAGCCCCTAGACATTAAACCGGTTCCCTCCAGCTCCCAGGAGTCCCCAGTGTCCCAAAGAGGGACAGATTGGCAAGGTAGGCGGGGACAGATGTAGAGACAAATCGCTAACTGCCTTGGCCTAGCATCATCAGTTACTAGGTAAACCTCATCCTGTCTTAGGCTTAGACAACAGGACTCCTGGTCTCTCTTCTTTTTCTGCAGAAAAACCAGTAGATTTCCCTAAAATAGTGGAGAGAATAATTGCAATATTCCCAGGATGTATGCAGCCTGGGCTGCCCACTGGTTTAACTTTTTCCCCTCAATGCCCTCCCAAAAGACCAGGCAGGACCAGATAACCTCTCCCGTTCCTTACAGGGAGGTTAGCTAAGAAGATAATTACAAAAATCCTTGTCTGTCCTGAGATGAGAGGACCCAGGGCCCTTCTTGGGCAGGTGTCAGAGGCAGGGCTGCTGAGAAGGAAGGAGGCACAGGAAGAGTACACAATTGTCTGATCTCAAGACTGCAGAATGAAGCGGCGCCACCTTAGAGATCAGGAACGGAGGCCTGGAAAATCCCTCCATGGGCCTCCATTGCTGCTTCAGTTCTAGCCAGTCAAGCTTATTTCCTCCTCAGTTATAATAGCTGCTTTCTGGAGCCAGTAAACCATATCCTCCTACAAACTGAGCAATCTCACAGGGTAGACCACAGGTTAACACCACTCAGGCTCCTTGAAAAATAGCTGATGATGGGTCAGTGCCCAGAGCTCACCTGCCTTCCCCCAAACACTAGACTCTGCTGTGTGTTTCCCCTACCGTACCCTGTTCCCTGGGGGCAGGTCCCTGCATTCTGAAGCCACTAGGAAAATGAGATAAAGCTTTCCTACTTTTCTGCCCCTGAAAAAGACAGATTTTATTTTTTGAGAATCCTAAGTAAGATTTTATTTTTTAATTTATTTTTATTCACTTTAACCTTTATTTTAGGTTCGGGGGACACGTGCAGATTTGTTATATAGGTAAATTGTGTGTCATGGGGTTTTGTCATACAAATTTATTTCATCACCCAGGTAATAAGTATGGTATCTGATAGATAGTTTTTTTATCCTCTCCCTCCTCCCACCATCCACCCTCAAGTAGGCCCCAGTGTCTATTATTCCCTTTTCTGTGTCCATGTGTATTCAATGTTTAGCTCCCACTTATAAAAGCGAGAACATGCAGTATTTCATTTTCTGCTACTGTGTTACTTTGCCTAGGATAACAGCCTCCAGCTCCATCCATGTTGTTGCAAAAGACATGATCTCGTCCTTTTTTATGCTTGTGTAGTATTCCATGGTGTATGCATGCCACATTTTCTTTATACAGTCTACTGTTGGTGGGCATTTAGGCTGATTCCATGTCTTTGCTATTAGGAATAGCACTGCAATGAACATTTACATGCATGTGTCTTTATGGTAAAACAATTTATATTCCTTTGAATATATGCCTAATAATGGGATTGCTGGGATGAATGGTAGTTCTGTTTTAAGTTCCTTGAGAAATTACCAAACTGCTTTCCTCAATGCTGAATTAATTTATGTTCCCACCAGCAGTGTATAAGCCTTCCCTTTTCTCTGCAACCTCACCAGCATGTTATTTTTTGACTTTTTAATAGAAACCATTTTGACTGGTGTGAGATGGTATCTCATTATGATTTTGATTTGCATTTTTCTAATCATTAGTAATGTTGAACATTTTTTCATATGCTTGTTGGTCACATGTATGTCTTAAAAAGACAGATTTTATGTATATTTTGTAGCTTTTTTTTTTTTTTTTGGAGAGAGTCTCACTCTGTTGCCTAGGCTGGAGTACAGTGGCATGATCTCAGCTCACTGCAATCTCCAACTCCTGGGTTCAAATGATTCTCATGCCTCAGCCACCCAAGTAGCTGGGGTTATAGCCATGTGCCACCACACCTGGCTTTTGTAATTTTTTTTTTTTTTTTTTGTAGAGATGGGTTTTCACCATGTTGGCCAAGCTGGTCTTGAACTCCTGACCTCAAGTGATCCACCCAACTCAAGCTCCCAAAGTGCTGGAATTACAGGTGTGAGCCACCATGTCAGGCCTGAAAAAGCAGATCTTAAATGGCAATTCATTCTTCTATCCCATTGTGAACTATACCGTTGATGGATCTTCCATCACTAACTTGAAACTCTAAATTGGCTTCCTTCTGCTCCCCAGTAGGTTTCAGGGCTGCCTCCCCACTCCTTAGTTTCTTAGAACTCTTGGATTTGATTCGACAGTGAGCTAAACAAAAGAGGATAAGGAGGGGGCCACCAGACACCACACTTACCTGCCCTCCCCCAAAGTCCCTGATCTCAGGAAAATCTAATACTTAGGAAAAAAATGGAAAGAAAAAATGCATACAAAGATCATTACCAAAAACAAAAGACTCATTGTATAACTAATTGAGACTAACTGAAGCTCTGCCATATCTCCCAGCCACCTTTGTACTATCCTTCCATCCTACAAAGTATATACACTTTGATTATATAGTGTAACTCTGCTAATGAACTATCAAGTGTGTTGGAATGGACAGAATATGGGGTGGGAAGTGCATAATTTGTAGAGCTTCTACTTTGTAACAGACACTATGCTAGGTAGGTCCTTTATGTACTATCTCATTTCATCTTAAAAGACTTGTTGCCTAGGCACAGTGACTTATGCCTATAATTCCAGCACTTTGGGAGGCCAATGTGGGAGGATCACCTGAAGTCAGGAGTTCAACACCAGCCTGGCCAACATGTGAAACCTCATCTCTGCTAAAAATACAAAAATTAGCTGGGCGTGGTGGCAGCAAGCCTATAATCCCAGATACTCAGTGGGGAGCTGAGGCAAGAGAATCGCTTGAACCCGGGAGGCGGAGGTTGCAGTGCCACTGCACTCCAGCCTGGGTGACAGAGTGAGACTCTGTCTCAAAAAAAAAATGATTTGTTAATTGTCTTCATTCCCCAGGTTCAAAAACAGGTCCAAGGATTCACACCCAAAGTCAAGAGGCTCCTCTTCTTATACAGCTCTTACACGTGCATGTGCATGCACGAGAGCTCTCTCTCTCTCTCTCTCTCTCTCTCTCTCTCTCTCTCTCTCTCTAGCATGCACACACACTCACTATATCCTGAAACTGGGATGGCTCAGATAAAGGGAGTTAGTGACACCTCTGCTGAGAAAGGGAGAAAGAGAAGAGTCACAATCCACAACCCAATTCCCCCAAGTCTTATCTTTCCTGTACTCAGAGTTCCTTCTGCTCTTAGAACCAGGGTCCCTTCCACTTTCTCTTTTGACAAGTTTTGAAACTGTATGAATTTTCCCCTGTCCCCAAAACACTTCCCCCTCACATTCCTCCCCATCCTGCCCAGGTAAGCTGTTAGCCCAACCTTATAGGAACCAAGTCCTGGGATCATTTTCAATGTCTACAAAGCCTGGCCCTGGCAAAGGAGCACTCGCTGTGTGGTCCTGTGCCAGCACTGAGCATGGCCCTAGCCAGTAACAGTGAGGCTAGGGGGTAGTTCCCTCTTACATAGCTGAATGTAGTTCCCTCTTATGTCTAGATCTCTGTCTGCTCCGATCAAAGAAGATGAGAAACCTTCTGTGAGGCCACAACAGGAAACAGTGGGAGGTGATTTCACTTCTCTATTAATGCAAACACTGAGGAAGCTTTTTAGAATAAAGAGGGACAGAAAATCCAGATGCCTGTTCCCTTTTTTTTCCTTCTTCTCCTCCTCCCAACCCTCCTATTTTTACCGATATAGCTGTCTTCCAACCTCCAGCCAATTTAAAATAACATCTCAATTGCTCTGTTGATTGTTGCTTATTTGTTAATTACTGATTGATTGTTGCTTATTTGTTAATTACTGATATAGCACCGGGACTGAAGAGGTATGGAGCCCCAACCAGGTTCCCACATGTTGCCTTTCTTTTACTGCCTCTATACAACCACCCATAGAGTGAGTCCTCTCTTTTTTCCCACTGCCTCTGCCCTTAGCCTGGCTACCACATGCCCTCGGTGAACTAGTCTCAGGGTTTGTGTGCAGAGCATTACTGGGAACATTCAGAACGAGAAGATATGGATTCTGCCCTCATGTCCTTTGCTTGTAGGTCAGTTGGGGAGCGAGAACAAACACTTTAAACAGAATAGTTTATGTTAAAGCAAGTAAGTAATAACAGAGCAATAAGGTCAGTGGTCTTGGAAGAGAGAGCCGGGCATGGTGGCTCACACCTGTAAGCCGAGCACTTTGGGAGGCCAAAGCGGGCAGATCACAAAGTCAGGAGATCAAGAACATCCTGGCTAACACGATGACATCCCATCTCTACTAAAAATACAAAAGCTAGCCAGGCATGGTGGCACATGCCTGTTGTCCCAGCTACTGGGGAGGCTAAGGCAGGAGAATCGCATGAACTTGGGAAGCAGAGGTTGCAGCGAGCCGAGATTGCACCACTTCACTCCAACCTGGGTGACAGAGCAAGACTCTGTCTCCGCCCCCCCCAAGAAAAAAAGAGAGAGAGAGAGAGAAGAGAGAAATAACCATGGGCATGGTAGACAGAGAATACTCTCAATCAAGGGGGCCTGGAGCAAGCCTTGAATTCTGGGCTGTATTGTGTTGCAGAGGAGGAAGGCAGTTGGCATCTCAGGCCTGGTATATAGCTCCACAAGCTCCTCATTGCTGTGAGGTACCATCAGGGAGGAGGCACCCTGCGAGGAGCCTGGGCTAGCTAAAACAAAGACAAGCTACAATAACGTCACTGGCACTGCACACTGAAGGAAGTCATAAATGTGATCTCTTGTTTGTTTTTGAGAGTATGGCCATAAAAATAAATTTCTTTTAGGCACTTCCTAAAGTTGCTCCATGTCAGTTCTGAGGTTCCTCTTTGGGACAGCTGGTTTTAACTCAAGTCTCCATTTATAAACACAAAAATTGCTCTACCAGTTAATCATGCCTCATAGCATAAGACCACATTCATGACTTCAGTGTCTTTTCAAAATTACACACACCTACATCCTGCCAAGATTATATTACTTGCCCAATCTGTCCAATCCCCACCCCATCCCTGCCATCTACCCCTTACCTCACCTCCGCCCACACACACACCCCTATCCTGTCAGGATTCACTGCTCTAGACTCTGACCTTGGGATTATAGTTTTTGTAGGCAGTTCACTATCCTTCCATCCTACAGCCAAATTACCTAAACTTCTAAGGGATAGTCTACCTGATTTGCCACCACAAATACTTTTCCTTTTTTTTTTTGACCATAACTATTGAAGAATGTTATCTTCATCTTAACCATGAGAAAATGGAGGCAGAGGGAGGTTAAGTGATTTCCCAGATTTACCCAGAAATCACTTAACCAGATTTACCCAGAAGTCACTAAGTGATAGAACCATTATTTGAACTCAGGATTTATTATTTTAAATCGTATATTGCTAATAATCAATTGGAAAATAAAACTTTATTGAAGTGCACAAAAAAAGACCTGAGAGGTGCAGAGATATACCGTATTCATGGATGGGCCATGGTACCATAATGAGAATCTTTCCCTACGTCTCTAACCTAAATTCTACCCCAATTAAAATTACACCAGGATTTCAGAAGAATTTAACAAACTGATTATAAAATGCACATGAAAATAAAGTCAATGAGTATCTTAGAAAATAAAGAAAAGGAAAGTAAGTTTTTGGGGAAGGTGGTAAAGGAATGGAGACTAGTTCTACCAAATAGTAACACATATAAAAAGTCAAAATGATCAAACAATGTGATACAGATTAGTAATGAGAGAAAAGCAAATTAAAGCAACAAAATACCACTCTACACTCACCATGTTGCCAACATTTGAAAGTAATTACAAGTATTAGTGAGCATAAAAGGAAATGTGAACGATCTTGCTCTGTTGGTGGGAGTTTAAACTGTTTATGATCCCCGAATTATAGAAATTATAAACTAGTTGGGTGAAAAATTAACATAGGAAATAAGATAGCATATCCCAGTCCTTAGGCTGAGTGTTCTAAGTCTGGGAAGAGTTCAATAAAGAGAAATTAGGGACAGGTTCATTGAAGAAGTCAAACTGGAGTTGGACCTATGGAGTTGGTTAAGACAGGAACAAGCTGAGCAGAATAAAGAAGGCATTCCTGTGAGAGGAAAGAGCCTGGCAAATGCCCTAAACTAAAAACAGATATAATACCTTCAAGGAAGAGTGAGGAAAAAAGATTCTTTCAAGAACGGCATTTCTGCTGGGAATAGTGGGTAATATTTTTTATTAGAAAAGGGGCACCAGACTAGAGAAGATACTGAGTGCTTCTAGGGTACTTAAATAACAGTGTCATAGAATGTCTGATCACAGAGCATCTAATCTAAGCCTATCATTTTATAGATGAGGACTTTGAGGCCCAGAGAGGGGAAATGACTTGTCTTTTAAGGCTTGCCTGACCAAAAATATCTAGATAAGTTGGAAAATAGAGAGGAAGAGAAATTAGGAAGAACTAGAAAGCAAAAAATAACACATCTAGAATTAGTAAAGTGAGAATAAAAGCATCTAAAATGGAGAAAACACAACGCTTGAAGGTAGTTTTAAGGTATATTTCAGAAAAGAGAAAAAAGTTTATGAAGCTCCTAAGTTCTTCTCTGAAGATCAAGACGAATAATGATAAGGTTAGATTATTGAGCACATTTTGTATGTGCCAGACACAATTTTAAGCATTCTATAGATATTAACTTATTTAAGCTTCACAGCATGAAGACACACTGCCTTACTTCCTATGTTAATTTTTTCAACTCAACTAGTTTATAATTTCAGTAGTTCAGGGACCATAAACAGTTTACATTCCCACCAACAGAGCAAGATATTATAGTTCACATTTCCCTTTGTCCTCACTAATACTTATAATTATTTGACTTTCAAATGTTGGCAACATGGTGGGTGTAGAGTGGTAAGGCGGACACCATTGCTATCATCATCCTTTTATAGAAAATGATACCAAGGCACAAGTCAAGTAACTTGCCCAAGGGCTCACAGCTAAACACTGACAGTTACGATGGAAACCCCAGCAGGCTGGTTCCAGAGCCCATGCTTCTTAACCAGTATACATGCTGCTGTTAGAAATGAGACGGTTCAGAGACAGTGCCAACTTCTCTTTGGGAGAATTGAATATTTTGTTTTAGATTAGACTTTAGTACAATGCCAAGAACAGAAACTCCCTCACCAAGTAATTGCCCTCTCAACTTTATTGCCACACTGTCTCCAAAGCAACTAAGGAATGCAAGAAATAAAGCATATGCAAAGCAATCTACCACCAGTGCTCATGTGCTGCCAGCTTTCATTATCCGCCCAGGACAGCACCTGTGCAGTTCTCCTTGGACAGTTCACTCAGGCCAAAGAACAGGTTGTCGGGAAAGACACGTGAATTCTCTGCCCTTCCAGCCTGTTCCCACTTCATGTCAGGGGCTTCATGATACTGTTTTCCCATAACTGACATGACTGATTGGAATAAATCACCTGGGAACTTATTCTTTCCATCCCTGAGCTTCTGTTTCTCAGTTATGGTGAGGGTTGAAGGGAGTTATACGTTCCTCAGGGCAGCCTATATGAGACATAAACATTTTCACAAACAGTAAAATACACACACACACTGCACAAGCAGCTTCCTTAACCATTTTGTGAGCAGATTATTAGAAAATAACTTTGCCTTCATTTCTTACATATTTTGAACAAACTGATAGAAGAAAAAACATCATGTAGTGCCGAGACCAGAGAATAAGCGCTCAGCTGACAAATTAGGGGTTTTCCCTATTTCCCTCCCTAAGGAGGGAAAGCTGTATTCAGGTTAAGGCATGCTGAACTGAAATGAGAACCCACTGAAGTTGCGATATCCAGAAACAAATACTATGAGTTAAGAAAGAAGCCACACTGATATTAAGAAATGAGATTTATTGCCTTGACAGGGAAGGGATGTGGTTGTGATAGGCAGACCACTCTGGGATCCCTGGGATGCAAGCCCAGGGACAGCAGAGCCCCCAGGTGGGAAACCTACACACACACACCCCAGGGATGTCACAGAGACTTCTTCTAGCCTGAGAAGAAGAGATCCTGGGCGGGATGCGAGAAACCTTGCACCCTCTGTTTGGATGGCTGAAGCTGTTGGCATCAAACTCTGGTCAGGAAGAATCAGTCTGGGGAGAGAAAGTGATGGAAGAAAGCCATCAGGAGATCGATCCTCCTCCTCCTCCCTGCGCCACAAAGGCCTCACTTGCTCTTCCTGCAGCACACCCTTCAGAGCTTGATTTCTCCTTGTTCCCAAATCATCTCCAAGCACCTTTCCTACAGCACCCTATATGATTCCTTTTTCACTCAAAGCCATTCTTGTGACCCCATAACTGTGTGTGTGTAACTGGGTCCCCAACTGGGAAGATGTGCCCCCATGTTGCTGGATACAGGCCCCCACACCCAAGGGCCTGAGGACTGCTATATGTGTCCCCCCACCGTGCCACAGAATAATCCTGACACATGCACACATGCATCACTGTATCTGGCCCTTCCAGATGATATACTACCTGAGCAAGGCTTCCGGAAGTAGATGATGAGAACAACACCCACGATGATGCCCAGCACACCCAGGCCAAAGGCCACACCACACAGCACATTCTCTAGCAGATCTGAGGGCAGTGCATTCTGGGGCACTGAAGGAAATAAGGAGTGGCTCAGCCTGGGGACCTGGTCAGGGAGCCTCCCACCCAGGAAAATGACTTGGGTGTCTGGGATGACATGGGAGAAACTGAGGCCTAGAAGACTAGCATGGGCTTAGGGTAGGAATGGATTAAACAAGGTCCCAGTGGAGAAAGAAGGCCCCTCCCATAGGTCTATCCCTTTTTTGCCCCCAAAATGACCAGACTTCCAGGGAGAAAGCCTCACCCCAATAGGCAATTGCTGTGTAGCGGTCAATTTCGTGAGTCACAATGCAAGAGAAAATGTCAGAAGGTTCCGGTGTGACATTTAAGTAGGAAAAGGCCTGGAAGCTGAGTCCATCAACAGCTGAGACAAAAGTAGGCCCAACTCCTTCCACAGGGACGGAATGATGCTGCCAGTTCACTGTCAGCATGGGTGGGAAGAGATTACTGACAAAACAGACCAGCGTGTTGGGCTTGCCAAACTCCAGGGGCTTCAGCGTGAACACCTCAGCGATAGGAAACCCTGGTGCGGGGGTTGAGGTGTGGGGGAAAGAAGAGACTAGTTTAGATGGTATCTCTGTGTTTGGAAGGGGCATGACATATGAAGGGGAGGGCAGAGAAGAACACAATAGTTCAGACTTTGGGAGACAGAGATGACAGAGGAGCTGGGCTCCCAAGGGAGGTCTTCTTCCAGGCAAGAACTGCAGCGAGACCTAGAATCGGAGCCAGATCCAGGCTACTCTGGATTCCTCTATCCCAACTTCCTTCAGCACTTCCTGTCTAGAGCTCACATTGGTGTCTAACTATGTACTGTCTTCTCACTAAGATATAGTCACATCATCAATTTCTGCTCTCCCCATCCATCTTGCTGGGCATAGAGGCACAAGTGTTAATATCCAGTAGGCATCAATTGGTACCTGTTGAATTCATCACATTCAATACATAGTTCTGAATGCCTACTACATGCCGGGTGCTTCTACTCACAAAAAACATAGGGTGCAGACCAAGGCCGGTGGAAAAATTAAGGTGATGGGGAGAACCAGAAGCCATCTGATGTGGGGAGCTTGTATCAAGGAAAATCATTCAGTGCACATATGAGGTTAAGAATGCAGCCCTCCTCCCTTCACTCCCCTAAAAAACTCCTGACCTCTGGACACCGGGATTTTCCCATCAAATATTGGCTCTAGTTCCCGGATCATCATCTGGCAGAACACTTTGTCAAATAAAATGGCAGGAGCATCTCTCTGTTCCTGAGCCCAGTCAGCAAATTCAGGCAGGCGAGGCACCCGAGTGTTCTCGGAAAAGTTGAAGAAGAAAAGCTGGTCTTCATCGTAGGACTCAGAGAGTCCAACACTGGGACTCCCATCCTGGCAGTACACTGTGTGCTGGAACGTGTGGTTTTGCAGGTCATCCGGCCACACTGAAGTAGGAGCTGCAAAGGACACAGGGTGAGGCTCAGGGAGGTAGGAGCCTTCTCCTCCTCTCCAACTTGAAAAAAAGCAAGGCGGGACCAGGCGCAGTCGCTCACGCCTGTAATCCCAGCACTTTGGGAGGCCAAGGTGGGTAGTTCATGAGGTCAGGAGTTCGAGACCAGCCTGGTTACCATGGTAAAACTCCGTCTCTACTAAAAATACAAAAAATTAACCGGGCGTGGGGGATGTGCCTGTAGTCCCAAGTACTTGGCTGAGGGAGGAGAATTGCTTGAATCCGGGAGGTGGAGGTTGCAGTGAGCCAAGATCAAGCCACTGCACTCCAACCTGGGTGACAGAGTGACACTCTGTCTTAAAAACAAAACAAAAAACCTGGCAAGGCCTGCTTCAAGGAGCGTGGGCTGAGGTGAGACCCTTTCCTGTGTCTGTTGTTTAGACTGCCACTCCCAATGGGGGTGAAGAACAAATTGTGCTATCTCTCTAAGCTTTCCCTGCCTATAAAAAGGCCAGTTGTCTAAGTTGTCAAAAGCAAAAAGAGTTCTACTATCTAAAGTAACTAATCCCAGCACTTTGGGAGGCCGAGGCAGGCAAATCATTTGAGGCCAGGAGGTCAAGACCAGCCTTGGCAACATGGTGAGACCCTGTCTCTACAAAGACTACAAAAACTTAGCCAGATGTGGTGGCGAGCACCTGTGGGTCCCGGCTACTCGGGAGGCTGAGGAGGGAGGATTGCTTGAACCTAGGAGGTTGAGGCTGCAGTGAGCTGTGATTGTGCCACTGTACTCCAACCAGCCCAGGTGACAGAATGAGCCCCTGTCTCAAAATATAAATATATAAAGGCCAGTACGGTGGCGCAAACCTATAATCCCAGCACTTTGGGAGGCAAAGGCAGAGGGATCTCCTGACGGCAGGAGTTCGAGACCAGCCTGGCCAACATGATGAAACCTCGTCTCTACTAAAAATACAAAAATCAGCCAGGTGTGGTGGCGTGCGCCTGCAAACCCAGCTACTCAGGATGCTGAGGCAGGAGAATCATTGAACCTGGGAGGCGGAGGTTGCAGCAAGCCAAGATCATGCCACTGCACTCCAGCCTGGGCAACCGAGCGAGACTCTGTTTCAAAAAAAAATTAAATTAAATTAAATTAAAATTAATATATATATATATATAAAATAAAGTGACAGATTCAGAGCCACTCTGTTCATTGTGTTTGTGGGCTGCACAAAAACACCTAGCCAAAGACACAGGTGGAAGCCTGCACTCTGCTCACCACGCCATACATCCTGGCACAGGGCTTCATCCTCCTAAAGGGGATTCCTTTGTCTAATTAATGCCGGGCTACTATATTGACTAGAGAAGGCCATGGATGGGTTTCTCACTCATAGGAGGGGAGGAGGAGGAATGCCACAGCCTCCCCAAGCCATAGATGGGACTGCCTCCCACTTTACCCAGACACAAATGGTAAATTGGAAAAACCAGTCTCCAGACATTTCTTCAGCCACTTCACTGGCACCAAGCCTCTCTGAAAATGTCTTCTGTTCCTTCAACCCACCAGGCCTCCCAACGACAGCATTGGGAGAAGTAACCCTGCAACTGGAGAATATAATCCCTCTTCTTTGAAGCTCTTGGCAGGAATCCCCCAGTCAGCAGGAAACCTTTAATCCAGTACCCAGAATAACAAATATTTAGAGGAAGAGGGATCTTCCAGATTATTCTTCCATTCTGCCCCATCCTCTACAGAGAAGAAAACTAAGAGCCCATAAAGTTAAGAGACTTTTCAAGAATCACAAGATAAGTTAATGATAGGAAGCAGAGTAGAATCTGAGTGGAGGAGTGAAAATAACATTCACTTTGTTCAAATCCGAGCTCTACCACTTTCCAATGGTGTGGATTTGCACAAACTCTTGAGTCTCATTTTCTTCATTTGTAAAATGGAGGGAAAATCTCTGCTTCAAGAGATTGTCTGAAATGGAACATGTAAAGCACCTCTGACATCGTTTACCAACCATACATAGTAGCTGTCTTTCCCCACTCTCCTATTGTTTCTGCTCATGACTTCCCACCACTCACAAAGCACAGCACTCTTCCTCACAAGCACTGGGTAGGCTCCCTGGGTTCAGGATGGAAGTAAATGGGAGTACCATCTTACCTTCAGGGATGGCCCAGGAGTGGGGCAGCAGCCACAGAAGTGGTAGCATCTGTAGCAGCGCAGCTCCTTGGTTCTGTTCATGACCCATATCTTCTAGCTACACTGTAGGTAGGAGCTGCCAACCCAGCCAACCCAGCTTCCCTAACTCCCTCCCCCAGAGGGTGGCCTTAGATCATGTTTTGCGAGATCATTTCCAATAGCTGCCCTTGTCATTTTGTCTAAACCAATCAGAGAAGTGTAGGGTTTAACATCATCAATCACTGGGGAGATCCCTGGGGCCAGCAACCTCCTGAAGACTTGGCTGTTTGACCAGGGCAGACTATGGCATGTAACTGGGCTGGGAAGCCCAGTGGAGGAATGTTGCTTCCTGGTGGAGTTTCTTGTTTAATCTCAGGCTGTCCGCCTCAGTCTGTAAGCGACCAGCTGGCTCTTCAGAGCAGTGCCACCTCCTGGCAGAACGTTGCAGTTGGGAAGCACACCTTCTCACAATAAACCCCCAGGGCTCTTCAGACCCTGCCTCTTCTCCTCCCTCCTGGCTCCCTTTCTCTTTCTCAAAAAACTCATTCTTCTTCAGGCATTAGCTCTAATTCATTTTGCAGACATATGCTCAAAATATAAGAAATGCTGGGTGTTGGCCCCAGTGCTAGAAATACAAAGATGAATAGGCATAGTCTGCCTTCAAAGAGCTTAGAGTCTAGTGCTGAAGGAGAGGGCCAAGGGATAATTACCAAACAATATAACGCATTCAAATAATAATGTGCCAAGTGTTTTGGAAGTAGCAGTAATTTTATGAGGATGCGGAATAGGAGGAACATAATCAGGCAGGCTTCTAAGAATCTTGAAGGAAAAACAAGTTGACCAGCAGAACATGAAGGAAGAGAAAAACATTCCAGGGCAAAGGGTAGGCAGAAGTACAAAGATCAAAGACAACCAGAGATCCTTCTTGGAGACCCCGCGTACTAGCTGATATGCATGTTGTGAAGGTCGACTGTGTGATAATAGGAGGTAATGGGGGGAAGAGGGATGTTGTGATGAGCTACAAATTCAGGTAAGAGCCAGATCACATGGACCCTGCTACACCACAAGGTGGAGCTTGCTTTTACTTAGCAGATGATAGAGATATTAAATGGGACACAATCATTTTAGCATTTTAGAAAAAAAAATTCTGATTGATATTTCAAACAATGAACTAGAGCTTTTAAATAATTGAGGTGAAACTACTGGGCAAGAGTCTATAGCATACAAAGATGAACAGTTGCACATACACACACCACACTCTTGTAGCAATACAGCAATAATTTAAATGACAGATGATAAGGGCCTGAATTAAGTCATAATTAGAGGAGGCGGAAGAGATAGAATATCGAGATAATTAGGAAGTAGAATCTAAAGGGTTTGGCTACTGAGTAGCTGTGGGAGTGAGAAGGTGGAGGAGTCAAGGATATCTCAGGTTTCCAGCGTGGGTGGCTGGGTGGGTGGTCAGGGATGGACTGAATTGAAGCAGAAAAGAATGCGATGGGAGCAGGTTTACAGAGGAGAGAAAGAGCTTGATTTTGTACATGTTGAATTTGAAATACAAGTGAATAGCCAGCTGAAACTGCACGGTAGTCAGTGAGGTGTGTGGGTATGGACCCCAGGTAGTATGGTCTGAAGAGCCTGATTTTGGAGTCATCAGCACAAATGTCAAAGCAGAGACCATGGATAAGGTCACCCAGGTAACTGTGCAGAAGGAGTGGGACGTGAAACAAGGACAAAAGTATGCAGGGGTTCAAACTCCAAACCTCATACCAGTTATCCAGGATCCTGTCAGGAGCATTTAACCACTTTATGTGCTTCAGACTGAAAGAATTTATTATACAGAACTGGTTACAAAGGTGTTAAAAGGGCAAGAAGTACAAAAAAAAAAAAGAGTCCTAGAAATGTAATTTTTTTAAAACGATCTCTATCTATAAATCAGAAGCTGCCATCATTCCCTGTAAATCTACCCATTGCCTTGTGAGAGACATTGTCATAGTCAGTTCCAATCTACTAAAACGGTGCCACCTCCGTCAAGGCTAGAATCCTTGATAGGTGCTTCTTTTGCCCAGGAGGCTGGAGTCCTGAGTCTCCCATTCTTCCTGCTGCTACAACTACCAGCTATTGCCAGCAACTGTCACTCTGTTTAGAGGCTGAAGCAGGATGCTTCTCAGTTTCTCCTGCCTTCTGATCTCCTGCCAGTGCCTCCTACTGGCAAAATCTAACAGGAAGCCAGCTGTCCAGGAAGGCTGAGAAATACACACCTGGCTGACTCCTAAGCTGAGCAGTTCAAAACACAGTAGCGGAGGGTGTGCATATCACTGAGACAAAAGATAATAATGAGTACACGGAAATACCCTGGTCTGTAGGAATCTGGTGGCACAAGGAGCATCCAGAGTACTGAGAAGAACAAGGTAGAAGCAGATCAGAGAAATAAAACGGAGATGTACCATGAAGGAGGGCAAGGTCAGCGTTTTTGACTACTACTCAAAAGTCAAGGAAAAATTTTAAAATGCCCTTAGATTTGGTGATTATGAGATGGCTGACAAATTTATTGAGAGCTGTTTCAGTGTTGTAGTGGGAGTCAATTCCAGATTGTGGTGGGCTGAAAAATAAGTGGGAGGTGAGGAAGAAACTGTCAGTGTATATGCTTTAAGTTTGTTAGAGAAAAGAAAGAGAAAGACAGAAGGGGTGGGGGAAGAGGCAGTGAGAAAGCTCCCATGTGGCAATCAAGTTATCTGAGAAATCAATATATATGAACATTGTCCATCAGTGTTTCTGAGGCTTTCAAAATTCATACCTTCCCTCTCTCTTTTTTGAGACAAAGTCTCACCTGTTGCCCAGGCTGGAGTGCAGTGGCTACTAACAAGTGCAATCATAACTCACTACCGCCTTGAACCTCCGGGTTCAAGCAACCCTCCCACCTCAGCCTCCCAAGTAGCTGGGGACTACAGGCACATGCCACTGCACCTGGCTTCATACCCTCTTTTGATAAACAAGTAACAGCAGCAGTAATAGCGAAAAACAAAAACAACTGCATGATCTCCTAGATATTCTGAAACAGCAATGTGTAGATACGCATGTATGTCTGTGTGGTGGAGGCAGGGTGCCAGGGCAGGACTAGGGTTTGGAAATCATTGTAACTCCCCAAAAAACAAAAGAACATTTCCCAGTATCCCAACCTTTATGGACTAACCCATCAGTGGTTCTGGCCGTGGGGAGATTCAGGCCCCTTGGAACCGAAGAAGTTTGTAAGACTACTCGGGGGAGACATATGGGACACAGCCACCTAGAGTCCTAAACCAAGGGTTAGTAAACGTTTTCTGTAAAGGGCCAGATGGCAAATATTTTAGGCATTGTGGGCTATCTGATCTCTGTCATGAGCACTCAGCTGTGGCACGAAAGGCTCCATACGCGGTATGTAAATGAAAGAGCGTGGCTGTCTTCCTAGTTTCCTCCTAGCTTTTCCTCCCACTTCTAGAGCCTCTCCTTCTCTGTCTCCTTCATAGACTCCTTCCTTTCAGCTACTCTTTAAATACTGGTGTTCCCTGGAGTTTTGTCCTCAGCCCTCTTTTTATTTATGGACACTAAAATTCAAATTTCCTGTAATTTTCATGTGTCACGAAATATTCTTCATTTGCTTTTATTTTTCCCAACCATTTAAAAATGTGAAGACCATTCTTAGCTTTTAGGCCATTTAAAAACAGGTGGTAGGCAAGATTGTGCTCACAGCCCATAGTGTGCTGAATGATGCTCTACACATGTGGTCAGGATTGGGATGAAAACCCCAGATAAACCCACCTTTCAAAGAAGAACCTCAGTCCCCTTATTATTGGATTGGCAATCAGTTAACAAACACTTTGTGCCAGTTATACCAGTTTATTTGGAAGGAGATCTGGGGAAGAACAGGAGAAAGTAGACTGGGCGGAAGGGCAGAGGAATAGGTACAGCAGACACTGCAGTTGCTCTGGGTGAGAGGAACAAGGCAGAGAGGGTTCCAAGTTATCCATCCGGAGCACAGTGTAGACAAGACCAGAGTGAGGAGAAACATAACCACCCCTCACCATAGTCTTGGTGAGAACTATGGGGAGAACTCCATTCTCCCCTTCTGTAATCGCAGTTTAAATGGTAACAAGTTCAACATTTATAGTTACTCTTCCCTCTATGTAATCCTTCCCCGCTAGGACTTCCCAAGTACCTCCATCATAAGTATCTTGGGAATAGTGTCTCTTCCATTTGGAAAGTGATCATTGCGGGCAACAGATGAGCAAGGCAGCCGGTTCTGCCTTGCAGTAGGTCACTGTCTACTTTGTCATTAGCTATGAATGCCTCTGAAAATAATGGCACAGCACCGGGAAATCCAGGAGGCTCTGGCTTTCTAACACTCAGCTCTGCATCCCTTTCTAGCATTTAAAATGGACTCTATTTTTTCCCCTGGCAGAGTCAAATTTATTAGAAAAGTCACGGGCAACTGTGGCCCACTCTCATACTCACCATTTAATCTTTTAACTCTCAACAATGCAATTGTTCACCAAAACTTTTGTGTTGCCAAATCAAATGAACTCCTACAGTCTCAGCAACATTTGACACTGTTGGCCATATCCTATCTCCTAAACTGGTCAAATTTTTGGCATCCCTGATGGCACTCTCTCCTAGTTTTTCCTCCTACTTTTTTGGCATCCCCTTTTCAGTCCCTTTGGGACTCCTTTCTTTCAGCAACCCTTTAAGTAGTGGTGTTCCCTGGAGTTTTGTCCCCAACCTTTACTCTTCTTAGACTATACACTTGCCCTGGATGGTCTCATTTACTCCCACAGCCTTCAGTTACCACCCATTTGCTAATGTCTTCCAAGCTTACCTCTTCAGCTCAGATCTTGCTCTGAGTTCCACGGTACCCACAGACCAACAGCTTCTGGTCATCTCCACTTGGATGCTGTGCAACAAGATAATAGCATTCAAGAAATTTAAAAAGTAAGTTTAGTGATACCGATCTTTTATTTTTGAATTTATGTCAACATAGACATAATACAACATCAAACACATTTATATAATTTTATTATGTAACAATTTATTATATTTAATAAGTCTATTTTATTTGCAAGCAATAGAAACCAATTCTGGCTAACTTAAATTTTTTTAATTAGGATTTATTGTAAACATACTGATCTGACTCATGGAATGAACGCAATAGTTGAATAAGCTAGCCTCAGGCAGAACAGCCATAGGAACTTTAGCAGCAGGGGTTGAGTTGCCATTAATATGCTCACCTGCAAAGGCCTCCTGCCTCTTTATCTTTCAAATTTCGCTTTGCTGGCAGAGACTCTTTTACTAGCTCAGCTTGTATTAGGTGTGTACAGGATTCATTGGTTGTGGCTAGGTGCAGTATCACCTCTATGGATTAGAGCTATTCCTAGAGAAGGGAGAATCATATGAAAAGTTATCACCTCAATACAGCTATTTCCAACATATGACATCTCAATTTTACGAGATCATCTAAGGCATAAACATATGGTTACATCTGTGTATTAATGCTCAAACATTTCCTAACTACCTAGGTGACATATGTCATCTACTTGTTGATCTCTGGTCTGTCACTTATCACATATTCAAATTACATTTATCTTATGATTCAATATTGATTTATTAATTTAAAATTGTATACTCCACTAATTTCCTTTGAAACTCTAAAATTTTTTTTTATTTTACTTTGAAAAACTCCAAGCACACACAGAAGAATCTCATAAACTCCAATGTACTCTCATGAATTTTAACAAGTTTCAACATTTAACATTCTTCCATTCTTGTTTCATCTATTGCTCTCCATTTTTTTTTTTTGGAGTATTTTAAACAAATTATGTCATTACATTTCACCAGTAAATACTTCTAGGCATATCTGTAATAGAAAATAACCTCTTTCTTAACAAAACAATAATGCCATCACCACAATCAGTAAAATTAAAAATTACTTAACTTCTTTTTGCTTAGTATTGTCTTGGCTACGTGGGCTCTCTTGTGATTCCATATGAACTTCAGTGATTTTTTCCAGTTCTGTGAAGAAGGTCATTGGTAGCTTGATGGGGATAGTGTTGAATCTATAGATTATTTCGGGCATTATGGCCATTTTCACGATATTAATTCTTCCTAACCATGAGCATGGAATATTTTTCCATCTCTTTGTGTCCTCTCTTACTTCGTTGAGCAGTGGTTTGTAGTTCTCTTTGAAGAGGTCCTTTACATCCTTTGTTAGTTGTATTCCTAGGCATTTTATTCTCTTTGTAGCAATTGTGAATGGCAGTTCGCTCATGATTTGGCTCTCTGTTTGTCTGTTATTGGTGTATAGGAATGCTTGTGATTTCTGCACATTGATTTTGTATCCTGAGACTTTGCTGAAGTTGCTTTTCAGTTTGAGATTTTGGGCTGAGACGATGGGGTCTTCTAGATATACAGTCATGTCATCTGCAAATAGAGACAATTTGACTTCCTCCTTTCCTAATTGAATACACTTTATTTCTTTTTCTTGTTTGATTGCTCTGGCTAGAACTTCCAATACTATATTGAATAGGAGTGGTGAGAGAGGGCATCCTTGTCTAGTGCCTGATTTCAAAGGGAATTATTCCAGCTTTTGCCCTTTCAGTATGATACTGGCTGTAGGTTTGTCATATATAGCTTTTATCATTTTATGATACGTCCCGTTGATACCTAGTTTATTGAGTTTTTAGCATGAAGGGCTGTTGAATTTTGTTGAAGGCCTTCTCTGCATCTATTGAGATAATCATGTGGTTTTTGTTTTTGGTTCCGTTTGTGTGATGGATTACGTTTATGGATTTGCGTATGTTGAACCAGCCTTGCATCCCCTGGATGAAGCCAACTTGATCGTGATGGATAAGCTTCTTGATGTGCTGTTGCAATCTGTTTGCCAGTATTTTATTGAAGATTTTTGTATCAGTGTTCATCATGGATATTGGCCTGAAGTTTTCTTTTTTAGTTGAGTCTCTGCCTATTTTTGGTATCAGGATGATGTTGGCCTCATAAAATGCATTAGGGAGGATTCCATCCTTTTGTATTGTTTGATACAGTTTCAGAAGGAAGGGAACCAGCTCCTCTTTGTACATCTGGTAGAATTCGGCTGTGAACCCATCTGGATCTGGGCTTTTTTTGATTGGTAGGCTACTGACTGCTGCCTCTACTTCAGCCCTTGTTACTGGTCTATTCAGGGTTTCAACTTCCTCCTGGTTTAGTCTCCATTTGACCCAGCAATCCCATTACTGGGTATATACCCAAAGAACTATAAATTGTTCTACTTTAATGACACATGTACATGTACGTTCACTGCAGCCCTGTATACAATAGCAAAGACCTGGAACCAACCCAAATGCCCATCAATGATAGACTGGCAAAGAAAATGTACATATACACCATCGAATACTACGCAGCCATAAAAAACGATGAGTTTGTGCCCTTTGTAGGGGCTTGGATGAATCTGGAAACCATCATTCTTAGCAAACTGACACAAGAACAGAAAGCCAAACACCGCATGTTCTCACTCATAGGTGGGTGTTGAACAATGAGAACACGTGGACTCAGGGAGAGGAAGATCACACACTGGGGGCAGCTGGAGGAGTAGGGGAGAGTGGGGAGGGATAACATGGGGAGAAATGCCAGATATAGTATGCATCTAAAGTAAAATAAAAACATAAAAAATAAATTACTTAACTTCATTTAACCCAATCTGTTCATTTCTTCTAATTATCTCAAAAATGTCTAAAGGAATGAAGTTTCAAATGAAAGGCATTTAAATGCCTTTCTTATAATTTATGTCTTATAATTTTCAACTGTGCCATTAGTTTAAAAAATTGATTAGTTTTCTATTTTATGTTTCATAAACCTACTGCTGGTTCAATAATGAATTCTAATTAGGTATTCCCTAGGCAAACAGACTTAGGAATTGCTGCTCTGAATGTATCTCCATCTCAAGATCACAAGACTACACTCATCACTTTCCCTTCCCAATATATTCCAACTCGTCTCCTATATTTAAGACTTAAGTGAATAACAAGATGTCCACCTGAGCTACAAATGTGGGTCATCCTTGAGGACCCCATCTTCCTCAAACCTTCCCATCCAATTGTCCTAACAATTCTACCTTTCTAATAGCTCTTGAATCTTCCTTTCTTTTCTTTCCATTCCCACTGGTCCAGGTCTTCAATGTTTGGTTTTCACTGGATTATTGCAACTTTCTTATAATTGGTCCGTTGTTCTCTCTCTCTCCAATCTTACTACTTTTCACCGTGCTGCCAGAAGGGTATTCTTGTTATGCTTAGTTGATCAGATTACACTTCTGCATGAAAACCTTCCATGATTCTCAATCACCTACTTTCCTTGTCATGACCCTTATTAACCTGAAGTCCACTTGTCTACTTCTATATATCCTTTCAGGAGAAATCTCACCCCTCTCAGGAAGCCTTCTTTGAACCCAGTTGAGATTAGTAGCCTATTCAGTACGTTTCCATAGTATCCTGTGCCGGCCATTATCATTGTTTATATTGTATTATTCTCTTCCATTTATATGTCTGTTTCATAGTCACCTCATCTCTACTACAGGTCCTTAGGGGAGGGTGTACTTTTTTTATATATTCCCAGAACCCACCAAGAAGGCCTACCAACAAGTGACAATTCACTTGATGAACAAATGGGATACCAGTCTCTGAAAATGGAAGAGCCTTCAAGTATTAGATGGTGATGGATTGTCCGTTCTAACACAGATATTTCAAAAGTAAATCTTATCAGGCATATCTGTGAGCCTTTCTACACCTCCACACCTTCCCTATGCACTCTACTACCCTTCCAATTTCATTCTAGCTCCTTCCCAGCTCCTTGCCAACTACCGTTTTCTTCCTACTCCCTGCCACTTCCTGTTTCAGAGCAACCCTGGCCATCCAGCTCCCACATTAACTCTTATTTCTACCTTAGTGTATTTAACCATACCCTTATTCATCCTTCCGTTTTAGTGACGTTACTATGATGCAGCAATCCTTACAACTATCTACAAAGTTTTAACTTATTATCCCCATTATATATACAAGAAAACTGACTCAGAAAGGTTCGTTCATTTATTTAGCAAATATTTATTGGGCACCTTCTATGTCTCTAGCAGTATGCTGTGTATCAGATACCTGCCATCATCACACTTAAAGTCTAATGAAAATAAAGAGACATCAAGCAAGCAAACATACAAATCTATAAAAACAAATTATAAAGGATACCATAAAGGAAAGGAATTGAGATCCATAAACTAACCAGAGTGGGAAACCTAGTGATATAGAGATGAGATCTGAAGGTTAAGTAAGACTTAGCCAGGTAAAGAATGGGAAGCAGTGTTCTAGCAAGGGAACAGCATGTAAGAGGCCCTGAGGAAGGCAATGGGCTAGCTCCTTCAAGGAAATGAAGGAAGACCAGTGCAGTTGGAACATAATTAGGGAATAGCAAAGGACAGGAGATGAAGCCAGAGGCAAGACTATGTGAGACCTGTGGGTCCCAGTGAGAATTTGGGGTTCTTTTCTAAGTTCAATTATTTTTGATGTCATGACTACTTTATTCCTTCTTATGGGTGAATGCGTTAGGTTCCTAACTGACCTACCTCCAGTCTCTCCAAAACCACTCCACAATTGTCAAATAAATAAATCAATCCTACAACGAAATCTTCCTACAAAGGTAGCTCTTCCTTTTCCTTTCAAAAAACAATTCTCCTTTCCACTATATTCAGTCTCAATTATTTAGCCTGGGGTGTCAGGTCCCTCATACTCTGGATTCTAATTTGATCCGAAGTATGGATTAAATAAATCCAATACATCTTCTTATGAAGGTAGCTCTCACTTCCCCTCTCAAAAAACATAAATAGCTCTCTCCTTCCTACCATACTCTTTATTACTTGGTCTGGATTTTCAGGTCCTCATACTCTATTGTATTCCCAGACTATAGAACCTGCTCTCCAATATCAGTAATGTCCCCCAGTTACCAGTCCAGTGAGTTTTTTTCTGTCTTAATTCCCTCACACCTTGCTACAGGGTCTCACTTCCTCTTTCAATCAGAAGAAGGGTTTTTAACCTGCAGTCCAAATGCCATAGCAATCAGAAGTCTAGTTCTAGTCAGAGCAATTAGACAAGAGAAAAAAAAATAAAGGCCATTCAAATTGGAAAGAAGGAAGCCAAACTATTCTAGTTTGCAGACAAAATGATATTATATATACCAAACACTAAAAGCTCCACACACACAAAACCTCTTAGAACTGATACATTCAGTAAAGTTGCAGGATACAAAATTGTCATATAAAAATCAATGGTGCTTCTGGATACAAACAGTAAACTAATGGAAAAAGAAATTAAAGAAAGTAATCCAATTTTCAATAGCTACAAAAAAAAAAACCCAAAACAAAATATAATAACTAAAATAAACCAAAGAGGTGAGAGATTTCTACAAGGAAAACCAGGAAACACTGAGGAAAGAAACTGAAGAGGTCACAAAAAATGGAAAGATATCCTGTGTTCATAGATTAGAAGAATTGGTATTGTGAAAATGACTGTACCACCAAAAGCAATCTACAGATTTGTTGCAATTCCTATCAAAATACCAAAGACATTATTTGCAGAAATAGAAAAAACAAACCTAAAATTCTTACGGAACCACAGAAGACACTAAATAGTCAAAGCTATGCTGAACAAAAAGAACAAAGCTGGAAGCATCATACTACCTGACTTCAAAATATACTACAAACCTATAGTAACTAAAAGAGCATGATACTGGGATAAAAACGATTCATAGACGAATAGAACTGAATAAAGAACACAGACATAATAGATCTACATATTTATAGCCAACTGACTTTCAACAAAGGTACTAAGATATTCAGTATTTAGTACCTTTGTTGAAGAGGACACTATCTTCATTAAATGGTGCTGGATAACAATATGCAGAAATATACAACTGGACATCATTTCACACTGAGTATAAAATTAAAGCAAAATAGATTAAAAACTGAAATGTAAGACCTGAAACTATAAAATTACTATAAGAAATACTGGGGAAATGCTCAAGACTTTGGTCTGAGCAAACATTTTTTTGGTATAAGACTTCACAAGCACAGGCAACAAAAGCAAAAATAGACAAATGGGATTACATTAAGATAAAAAGCTTCTGCCACAGGAAACAATCAACAGAGTGAAGAAACAAACTTCAGAATGGGAAAAAATATGTACAAACTATCCATCTGATAAGGGATTAATAACCAGAATATATATCAACAAAGTGAAAAGACAACCTTCAGAATGGGAAAAAAAATATGTGCAAACTATGCATCTGATAAGAGATTAATAACCAGAATACATAAGGAACTCAAACTCAACAGCAAAAAACCTCCAAATAATCCCACTTGAAAATGGGCAAATGATCTGAATAGACATTTCTCAAAAGACATACAAATGGCCAACAGGCATATGAAAAAATGCTCAACATCACTAATCATCAGGAAAATGCAAATCAAAACCACAATGAGATATCATCTGAATCTATTTAAAATGGCTGTTATAAAAAAGACACAGATAAGAAATACTGGTGAGGATGCAGAGAAAGGGAAATGCTCATATACTGATGGTAGAAATGTAAATTAAGAGAGCCACTATGGAAAACCGTATAAAGGTTCCTCAAACAACTAAGAGCAGATCTACTACATGATTCAGCAATTCCACTGCTGGGTATATATCCAAAAGAAAGGATATCAGTGTATCAAAGAGATGTGTACACACCTATATGTATTGCAGCACTACCCACAGTAGCCAAGACATGGAATCAATCTAAATGTCTATCAAGTGACTGGATAAAGAAAATGTGGTGTGTATTTAATATATATAAAATGGATATTATTCAGCCATAAAAAAGAATGAAATCCAATCATTTGCAGCAACATGGATGGAATTGGAAGTCATTATGTTAATGAAATAAGTCAGGCACAGAAAGAAAAATATTACATATTCTTTTATGTGGGAGCTAAAAAAGTTGATCTTATGGAGGTAGAGGGTAGAATGATGGTTACCAGAGTCTGGGAAAGGGCAGGAGTAGATGAAGAGAGATTCATTAATGGTTACAAAAATATAGTTAAATTGAAAGAGTAAGTTCTATAGTGTTGGATAGCACAGCTGGGTGACTAGAGTTAGCATTCATTTACTATATATTTCAAAATAGTTACCAGAGTAGATTTGAAATGCTACCAACAGAAAAAAATAGATGTTTGAGGTGATGGATATACTAATTACCCTGATTTGATCATTACACATCTGTATGTATCAAAACATCACATGTACCCCATAGACAATTATTATATATCAATAAAAAAGTTTTCAAAGAAAAACAAAAGAATTCAGAGGTCCATAAACTTGGATGAAATTTTAAAATGTCATCTTTCCTTTTTTTGAGATGGAGTTTCACTCGTTTCCCAGGTTGGAGTGCAACGCATGATCTCAGCTCACCACAACCTCTGCCTCCCGGGTTCAAGCAATTCTCCTGCCTCAGCCTCCTGAGTAGCTGGGGTTACAGACATGCACCACCATGCCCAGCTAATTCTGTATTTTCAGTAGAGACGGGTTTCTCCATGTTGGTCAGGGTGGTCTTAAACTCTCGACTTCAGGTGATCCACCCGCCTCAGCCTCCCAAAGTGCTAGGATTATAGGCATGAGCCACCGTCCCTGGCCTGTCATCTTTATTTTCAAAAAACTCTCATTGAAATTTAATTTTATGAATGTAGAAAATAAATCTTTGTAGTAACAGTAACACGGTCATCAATGGAAAACACCATCAATTAATATTTTCATATCACATTATAGTTGTTACAGACATCTCAAAATATCACTTACAATTATGGGAGTTGTTGAACTTGCCAATAAATCATGCTTTTTAATGTATTAGTAAAGAAACACTGTATTGTATTAATACAGAAACACATACTACTAGATCATCACACATTTCTTTAAATACAGTAATGCCCCCTACATAGCACCAAATCTGGTTATACAGTTTCTTCCTATCCACAGATGTACTTACAATAAAGTTTAATTTACAAATTAGGACAGGAAGAGATTAACGACAACAGTAAAATAGGACAATTATATTGTAATAAAAGTTATGTGAATATGGTCTTTCTGTCTAATACACAAAGTATCTTATTGTACTTATTTTTAGACCAGGGTTGACCTTGGGTAACTGAAATCACAGAAAGTGAAACTGCAGATAAGCGGGGACCTCTGTATTTCGGTAACTGTAGTTTATATTTTATTTTATGCATTTACAAATATCATCAGACAAGATCCAAAGGCTTCACCAAACTGGCAAAAAAGCTCATGGCACATAAAAAGCTTAAGAAGTCCTGATAGAATCATTCATTTAATAAACATGAAATCATTCTTGGAACCATCTTCTATTCTAGCTTTCTCACATTATGTTGCTCTGCTTCTCCTTCTGGTTTGAGATCTGCCATTGGTTCCACTTCTGATTCTTGCTTCCTGTATGAGGATCTAACCAAAGCTCAATCCTTCACCCTAAACTGTATTTATAACCCCTCCTTTATAAATCTCAGCTACTTTCATGGCTGATTCAAACATCACTTCAATGCTAAGTCTCAAATTTACTTTTCCTAATCTTTTTTTCTCCAACTTCAATCTTGGATCTTAAACTCCCAGCTGTGCCTAGTAAACAGAGTAATATACCACCTAGAGTCAGCTGGGTTCAAATCCAATTCTACTGCTTACCAAAAGTGTGACCTTAGATAAATAATATCTGCTATGGTTTGAATTTCCCCTCCAAAACTCTTGTTGAAATTCATTGCTATTGTGACAGTATTAAGAAGTGGGATCTTTTAAGAGTTAATTAGGTCATGGGGTCTCTGCTCTCATAAATGGATTAATGCTACTACTATAGGTATGGGTTCCCATTTAAAAAGGTATGTTCTGGCCCCCATTCTCTCTCCATCTCATGTGCTTGTTTGCCCTTCTGCCTTGGGATGATGCAGCACAAGGCTCTTACCAGCTGCGAATGCCATGCTGTTGGACTTCGCAGCATCTATTGTTTATAAATTACCAGTCTGTGGTATTCTGTGATAGCACCAGAAAACAGACTAAGACATCCTTTGCTTCTGTTGTTTCATTTGAAAACTGAGGGTAATAATACTCCAACCCCCTGTTATTTTAATTTTATGTTTATTAACATGGACAGTGCCAGCCACTGGAAGACAGAGTTCCAATCTAACAACATAATTCTGATCAAGTCACTGGCTGAAAAATTTCAGTTACCCACTGGTTCCAAACTTAACAGCTGGAAACTCTCCATGATGTATTCCCTAATATAAATTTACCTACCATTTTCTATTTGCCTGCTCTACTTCTTAGAGCTTATGTTCTGGCCAGATTGAACTAGACTATTTCCTGTGACAATTTAACGCTGTGCTGTGCTGTTCTACTTCTGTCTTTCCTCACACAATTCTAATGTCTCAGATATGTTTGAAGGCATCAATTTTGTCTATGATTATTCCCCTATACATGATGCCCCATAAAACATACACATCGCACTCTTACCTAAGTCACATACTTACACATCAACTCACCTCAATATTTGCTCCATTTGTGAGGACCTCATACTGGCCAGATACTATGACTGGATCTGGGGGTATGAAAAAGAAAAGAAAGCAAGGAAAAAAAATACATTATGGTCCTGCTCTCAAGATCAAGGTCTAGTACTAGAGAGAAACATGTAATCACATAAATGCCACTCACTGTGGAAAGTATAATCATAAGAGGAAGGGACACCAAAGAATGAGCAGTCAGCTCAACTTGAAAGGTAACATTAAGCTTTTCAGAGATGTTGGTATTTGGGCTTACATAGATTGGGGAAAAGCCATATACAAAGCACACATGTGTAAAACAAAGAGGCATGAAACAAAATGATGTGTCTGGGAAACAGTTCAATAGAGCTGGAATATAGGGGCCAAGAGGAAGTGGCTAGACATGAGGCTTGAAAGCTAGGCAGCCTGTTCTGGCAAACATAGGAATTTGGACTTTATCACATAGTCAATGAGGAATTAACATTGAGTTTAAAAAAGAGATATGGCCAGGGCTATATTTTGGAAAGCTCTCTCCTGGCAGTATCATGGCAGAGGCAGAGAGGAAAGTCTAAAGCAGCATTGTCCACCAGAACTTGCAATGAGGCCAGGAACGGTGGCTCACACCTGTAATCCCAGCAGTTTGGGAAGCTGAGATGGGCAGATCACAAGGTCAGGAGTTCCAGACCAGCCTGGCCCACATGGTGAAACGCTGTTTCCACTAAAAATACAAAAATTCGCCTGGTGCGGTTGCAGGTGCCCATAATCCCAGTTACTCGGGAGGCTGAGGCAGAAAAATTGCTTGAACCTGGGAGGCGGAGGTTGCAGTGAGCCAAGATCGAGCCACTGCACTCCAGCCTGAGTGACAGAGCAAGACTCCATCTCCCAGATGGGGGTGGGAGTCAGGGTGGGGGGGAGTTGGGGAAATGGAAGGAAAAAAAGAATTTCTTGCAATGACACAAACGTTCAATAATCTGTGCTTTCCCCTATGACAGCCACTAGTCACAGGGGGCTATTGAGAACTTAAAATGTGGCTAGTGTACTGAGGAACTAAATTTAAAATTGTATTAATTTAAATCCCGATAGCCATGTGTCTAGGAAATAATTTAGGAGACGGTTGGTATAGCTCAGGTGATAGAACTAGGACAGATGAGTGAGTTGATGGTTAGTTCTAAGAGGTAAAAATCATGAGTCTGTAAAGGTGTGGGAAAAGGATGTAAAGGTGAGAGAAAAGGAAATCAAGAATGGGCTCCCAGATTACACACTTTGTAACTAGCCACCATTACTTAGGATAACAGAAAAGAAAGAACAGGTCTAGAGTGTCTAGAGACTGCATCAATTATGAACATACTGGTGTCTGAGAGTTATTAAAGTGGGAATATTTAGTAGGAAGTTTAGCTGAGAGAGCTGTCTGAACTAAAGATACAGACTTGAGAGGCTTTGAGCCATTGAGTCAGATTACCTAGAGAAGTTGAATTGAACTAGAAGCAAACAGGCATAATCATAGCAAACATCAACACACAAAAAGGGGCTAAGGAAGAAAAATCCAGAGACTGGAGAGGTACAGTTAGACAAATAGGAAAAGAAACAAGTGAGCGTGATCATAGAAATCAAGGGTAGAGGGAATGTCAGGAAGGAAACATGATCAAATGTGAAACGCTTCAGAGGTCAAATAAGGTGAGAACTGAAAAGTGCTTCCTGATTTTGCTAATTAGGCGGTTCTTGGTGAGATTTGCCAGAAAAGTTCTGGTGGTAGCAGCCTGGCAGAGGTAGCTTGAACAGTGGGGATGGGGAGAGAGAGGGTGAGAAAGAATTGAGATGGTAAGGATAATTTCAATTTCAGGTCTTGGCTGTGCAAGGGAGCTGAAAGGTAAACGAGTCTCGAAGAGGGCATGACATTGAGAGGGTTACGCTTTCTGCTAGCGGGGGAAAACAAGATAAAAGTTAAAAAGGTCGAAGGGCGGAGAAGGAAGGACAGGCTCTGGTCAATAGAGAAGGTTGACCAGGTCAATAGTAAAGGATTTCCTTAAACCGAAGAGAGGACCTCTAGTGAAATGGGAAAGGAATATACATTTGGCCCAGTTTGCAGGTGGGAAATGGGAGGCCACGAGTTCCGCAAGTTGGCCTTTTTGTTCTGTGAGGTGTCATCTGACGGTGGGGAGAGAGATTAGGGTCTACATCGTGAAAATGTGGACCATACTCTGGGGAATCAAGGGAGAGGTTATCGGCTAATGACAAATTAAAGGCTTACGTTTTAGCTGGCAATTGAATCAGCGTAACATTTTAGGTTACCAATTCCAAAATTTGGGGGGGATTCATTCAAGACTGAGAGAGTAGAGGTCAACACTTTAGGAGTATACGAGGTTCAAACGGTCCACCACGAGATCAACAGAGAAGGAAAAGTGATTAGCTAGTAAATATCGTAGAAAGAAGAGCTGTCCAGGGATTCACAGGTTTCACTAAATTAAAGTTTAGCACAGGTTCAGGGAACGGAGAGGTTAACAGGCTAAGACTAAGCCGAAAACGAAGTCCAAATCTCTGGTCCGCTCCTCATCTCCCCGCGCTGCAGGCGCGACGAGGGCGAGAAACTCCCTCTCCAGTGATCGCACACCACAGGACACCAGGGAAGGGGCCCCTCTCTGCAAACCCTCATATCTGCAAGTCCAGGCCCCATTCTCCTCCGCTGACAGGATCTCAGCGGCGCGCGCTTCCACTGGATTCCGGCCAGGATTAGCCAAGCAGCACCTTACTGCTACCGAGGATGAAACAAGCGTGAACGCCCGGGGTTGCTTCGCTAGGCCGCGGGTAGTGGGGGAGGGGGCGTTGAGGCTGGAAGTCGGTGCCCGGGGCGGGCTCCAGCCACACCAACTGCGCGCGCTCGGAGCCCAGTCGCCGGAGCTGCGGGCCTGGCCTAGACGCATGCGCACTGCGGCTCTTCCCGCGGCCTCCGGCACGCTTTTCCCTTCCCCCAGTCAGGACGCACCCTTGCGCCTGCGCCATGTGTGTTCTTGGGCTGCGGCAGCCATGCTGAATCCGTACGGAGAGGCGAGTGGGGGGGACACAGTCGACGTCTGCGGGATAGGAAGCTGGGGATTTGGAAAAGCAACAGCATTATAGCGATCTGGGTTTCAGAACATAGGCTTGGGCTATGCGGACCCCTTGGTCCCTAGCGCGACCCCCAGGAACGTTTAGGAAAACTGGTCCTCCTGGCTGGGGGAGATGGGGGGGGGGAAGACAGTGGGCACGTGACTCCGGTCAGCCAATCTGAGTGCTGCTGACGTGGCGGCGCGGCCCCAATGTCTCCCCACCCCCCCAGCCCGGTCGGGAAGGGAGGGGCTGGGGGCTACGCCCCCTCCCCCAACACGGCTTCGTTTTCCGGGGGGGGTTGACACCCCGGATTACATACCCCGTACCAAGCCGAGGGCAACTTTGGAGGCCCCCTGGAAGGCTTTAGGATCCAGGTGAGAATGGGCCCTTGTGGGGCGGAGATGTTGTCAGTCACTTAAGTGCTTAACCAATGGTGGGGAGTCCGGGAGGGGGATTCTTGGGGTTCAGAAAAGAATCCTGAGAGTGGAAAGATTTGTCCTTCAAATCTTTTACAGCCAATGGGAGCCTGGAAGGGGGCGAGCGGGAGAGGGCCACCGGGGTGGGGGAGGGGAATGGCCAGCCTCATTCCTCCATACCAGTTGGAGGGCAAAGGGGTGAGGGGGCGGCGTGCCCCCCCAATCCATTCGGCCCCTGGGGGTACAGCAGCTAGGAGCCAGGTGAGAAGGGATCCTTCGGCGGCCGATAGAGGGGTAACCTGGCGGTGGGCTGAGGAGTGGAGTGGTGGCTGTGGCTGTGAATGCTTTCGGTGATGGCCACTCAGGTTGTGAACTGAGGTTGTTCCCAGGCGCCAACTTGCTTTCTCCCCAGAGTCTCTGGAGGGAGCATTGCTGTGCGCCCTTTCTGTCCGCGGTAGAGGAGCTCCAGTCGTCACACGCCAGGCTGGAGGTTACGCTTCGAGTCGCTTATCGAATTTGTGTGCATTCACGTGGACACGACCTGTGGGGCCTTCTGCCCTTGTAGGGTCTTTCTTGAGCACGTGTCTACTCCAGGCTGGGGGGCTTACAGGCTGAAAGCTTGAGATCTGCTTAGGAAGAGAAACCAGGCCCAAGGTGGGTGCTGGCAGCAGGGGGTCAAGAAGGCATGGCCTGAATGCGAGGGAGGCTCGGGACCTGGAATGATTTCACAGCTCCCAAGGTTTCGGGTTTCTCCAGGGTGGCCTCTTCCATCGCCTCCCTCATCCCCTCCCCCAGTCCTGAACAGTTCTTTCCTTGTGTACTGCGGGGGAGGGAACGGAAAGGAGGAAAGAGTTACTTTCCCAAATTACTGAGTAGCAGTAGCCTCCCTAGTGACTCATGTGGGGGAAGGGAGGATAAAGAGGGATCGGGAGGCAGTGATTTTCTGGAATGCAGAGTATAAGCGAGAGCAATGTCTGGCTGCCCTTTTCCTTTCTAAGGCCCAGTATTTTCTCAGCCTCCTAAGTTTTTCTTCCATTGCCGGCTGCTCGACGGGCCTCTGTCCTGACCTGCAGAGCCTTGATGGAGAAAAGTAGATTTGGGAGGTTGGGCCACTAGGGGGAGGGGAGAGGGCCTCTGCAAAGTTGCTGTGTCATTGCCCCCCTCCCCCGCTGCAGCCACCCAGACAGGGCCGCATGTACTTTTGGGGGCCAGGGCCTGGTCCCTGGTGGGGGAAGGGGACTCTGCTCTCCCGATGCTCATTTTCTCCCGCCCTCCCGGGGTTTGCTCTACTCAGGGCGTCAGGAAGACGGGAGATTGGCAGCCATTTTAGACGCAGTAACCGAGGTTGGAACTGAAGGGCTACAGCAGAGGAGGGAGGGTGGCGTGTTTGCAGCTCAAGGACCTAGGCCCTTACGAGCCCTTCGCGGGGGACGGGGAAATCTTCCCGTATATTTGTTCACCTACGTTGATTATTTTTCTCAGATACCTACACAAGTTTGTTTTCTCCCTGGTATCAAAGAAAGGGGAAACGGGGGAGGGAACGCCCCGCCAAAGCCCAGGTTTTCTCGGGTGGGGGAAATCCTTTCACTCTCGTAAGGGGGCGGGGACGGCCCCAGGGATGCTCTAGAGATCCTGACCTTGGGCTCTGGTTTATTTTGCACCCTTATTTAGATAACCAAATTATGAGGAAGACTTAGTAAGTGGGGGGAGGAGGCGAAACTGAGCTCCCAAAATGGCTCCTGCCCCTCCTCGGAGGCGGACGGCCGGGGGGAGGGGAGGAGGGGAGGAGGGGGAGGGCTAGTCTGAGCCGCAGCCGCCGCCTCCTCCGCTCGCCCTCCTCCCTGGCGCTGACCGATGGACCAGCCGCTCCGTGGGGAGGACTCCGGACCCGGGTGGGGGGGGGGGCGGGGGGGTTACCTTGTCTCCCGTGGCTGAGGGACCCTAAGAGGCGGATACGGGTCTGCCCTTAGGGGTGGTGCGGGGCGTGGGGAAGGTCCAAGCTCGCCTGGAGGGGGAGGGTGTTTCCCCTAAGTCGCCCCTCGCAGGACTTGTTTTTTCCTGCCCTGAGCCAGACGCCGGAATGGAGTTTGAGGAAGAGGTGAGGTGGGTTACATTGTATAGGGTAGATGGATGCGTTTGGAGATTTTAATCCCACTTCAGGGTGGCCGAGGGGTTTTCGAACGAGCAGAAATGTGTTACTAACTGCAGGTGTGAGTGGGGAGGGATCAGAAAGGCGTTTGGGCGTGCAAATTTGGGAGACGTATTCGAGCTTTCGTGGCCTGTGGGATTAAACAGAGTAGTAAATGTTTTGCTCTTGTCTTTCCATTGTTTGGCTTGGGGGAGGGAGGGGAGTATTTTAAGACTGGCAAGGCTGTGTTTTAGATTGTGAAGCATGGGACGTTAGGTCCCCTCGTCGCCATTCTGAAGCCTGTTTAAGCTATTCGCCATAGAGGAGCAGGCCGCGGCTTCTAAGATGGCGTCTTCTTCCTCATTTCAGATTCTTCGCTGCAGCGGCCGTACTGCCGAGAACCACCACCCGCCGGGCGCCTTGCGGCCACACCCCTGGCATGCCCGGGCCGGCTACGCCCACGTGACCCCTCCCGTTTCCCTGCCGGTCTGGCCAATGGAGGAGCTACGAATGGCACGACCTGCCAGAGCTTGGCAGTCTCCAGTTGCGCTGTGTATGGAAGCCTGGGAAGACTTTGTTGGAAGGGGAGGCGAGAGAGGGTGCAGGAGGCTCTGGGGCTATGGCTTCCGCACCCCTTCCAACCGCCCTCTTTCCCTGGAGTCGGCGAACCACAACCCAGCCAATTGGCTTGGAGATGTGGCGGGTTGCCACTTCCCTGTGGGTCTCTGCGGCACTCTGCCTGGTGACTGACACCTTGGAAATGAAGTTTATGACGTCATCCTTGCAGCTGGCCAATAGAAAAAGCTCCCGCGGAGAGGTGTTCCTCCCCCTTCGACTGAGCTGCCTCATGCGCGTGAGCGAGCGCGGGCGCGCGGAGGGGGTGGAGGAAATCTCGAGCAGGGTGGCGCGCATGAGCGGCGAAGCTCCGCCTCTCCGCCTATATATAAAGGGCTGGCGCGGGGCTCGGCGGCGCCATTTCGCGCTGGAGTGGAGCAGCCTCTAGAACGAGCTGGAGGATTCTGCCTACCGATACAGAGCCTTCGAGTCGTCCGGGGCCGCCATTACAATCCATCTCCATCCGCTTGGAAATGGCTTTCGTCCCGGCCTATGACCGGTCCCAGCGGACAGTACAGACCCCATAGAAGCCCCTGAAGCTCCCCTTTTTTGGGCCCCGCCCAATCCTCGGAGTCTGTCCACCCCCTCTACTCCGCCCTCAAGAGGATTTCAAAGATGGAGGAGGCGGCTCCCTAAACCACTTTTCGTGTTCATCCGCCTCCATCCGAGATCGAAACGGGACCTCGTCGGGCCCGTAGGGTCCTGACAAGAAGAGGGAAATCCCTGCAGACCAACAGCGGGCTATATTGACGACGGTGTTTGGGATCGGGGACTGTCTTGGTTTGAAGAGTCAGTCCCTCCTTAGTCGCCCGCCTCAGCTGAGGCCGCCGCCATTTTCTTGCTGTCCGACGTCTGCAGAGCGCGCCAAGCTGTCCGGAGCTCTCCGCGAGGCCCCGAAGAGACTGCTATTGTGTCGGCTGGGCAGGGGGTTTGTCGCCTGGAGGACCAAGAGCAACGGCCTTCCCCCTAACTTACCGGGTTATGCTGGACCGGGCGGTGAGGGGAACCGAGGCCACCCGGACTTACCGCGGCTGAGGGCGGCGCCGGTTCCCTGCGGTCAAGATGCTGCAGAACGTGACTCCTCACAACAAGTACGTTTCCGTGAGCCGAGTGTGGGTAGGGGACACGGGGCGGCGACACGGGGGTGTGGGACGCCCCGGCGTGCTGCTGTTTTGCGGCGCAGCTGTTGGGCTCGCGGAGGGGGTTGAGCGACCGCTTTGAAACCGTGGTGGCGGCCCGGCCACTGCGCATGGGGGAAATCGGGTTGTCAATTTGTATGCCATTAATGCCGCCTTGACCCAGTCTTGACCGAGTCAGGCAGTTAGTTTGACGGCGGAGTGTAGTGAGGGTGGACAGCAGGTCTTGCGTTTGGTGGGGTCTGGTGTCCAGCGGCGGTTTGTCATAGTCTTTTAGGGGGATTCACGGCCACCTTTAGTGCCATGTAGGGTTGCCATGGAGATAGAGAGCTTCAGGGACTGGCAGTGGGGATTCCCAGAGAAGGGTAAAAGGATCACTCTCCCAGCCTGCGGGTTCCTAACGCCTGGAGTCTGTCATTAAATCTCTTGTTTTCTTTGGGTGGGTTGTGTGTTTGTCGGTGGAGGGTTTTTTTTCCCCCTAACAGGAAGCGTTTCATTCAGGGCAGGAGGGTGGAGCTAAGGCTCCTAGTTCAGCTCTGCGATGTAAACAATGAGATGCCCATCTAATGTCTTAAATCTTAGGTGGTGGGAAA